GCTCTGTTATACACTCACACACATTACTGGGAGTATTATTGCTGTGGAGCTCTGTTATACACTCACACACATTACTGGGAGTATTATTGCTGTGGAGCTCTGGTATACATTCAGACACATTACTGGGAGTATTATTGCTGTGGAGCTCTGTTATACACTCACACACATTACTGGGAGTATTATTACTGGGGAGTTCTGTTATACACTCAGACACATTACTGGGAGTATTATTGCTGTGGAGCTCTGTTATACACTCAGACACATTACTGGGAGTATTATTGCTGTGGAGCTCTGTTATTCACTCAGACACATTACTGGGAGTATTATAGCTGTGGAGCTCTGTTATACACTCAGACACATTACTGGGAGTATTATTGCCATGGAGCTCTGTTATACACTCAGACACATTACTGGGAGTATTATTGCTGTGGAGCTCTGTTATACACTCAGACACATTACTGGGAGTATTATTGCTCTAGAGCTCTGTTACACACTCAGACACATTACTGGGAGAATTATTGCCGTGGATCTCTGTTATACACTCAGACACATTACTGGGAGTATTATTGCTGTAGAGCTCTGTTACACACTCAGACACACTCAGACTGGGAGCATTATTGCTGTGGAGTTCTGTAATACACTCAGACACATTACTGGGATAATTATTGCTGGGGAGCTCTGTTATACACTCAGACACATTACTGGGAGTATTATTGCTATGAAGCTCTGTTATACACTCAGACACATTACTGGGATAATTATTGCTGTGGAGCTCTGTTTTACACTCAGACACATTATTGGGAGTATTATTGCTATGGAGCTCTGTTATACACTCAGACACATTACTGGGAGTATTATTACTGTGGAGGTCTGTTATACACTCAGACACATTACTGGGAGTATTATTGCTCTAGAGCTCTGTTACACACTCAGACACATTACTGGGAGAATTATTGCCGTGGAGCTCTGTTATACACTCAGACACATTACTGGGAGTATTATTGCTGTAGAGCTCTGTTACACACTCAGACACACTCAGACTGGGAGCATTATTGCTGTGGAGCTATGTTACACACTCAGACACATTACTGGGAGTATCACTGCTGTAGAGCACTGTTATACACTCAGACACATTACTGGGAGTATTATTGCTATGGAGCTCTGTTATACACTCAGACACATTACTGGGAGTATTATTGCTGTGGAGCTCTGTTATACACTCAGACACATTACTGGGAGTATTATTGCTATGGAGCTCTGTTATACACTCAGACACATTACTGGGAGTGTTATTGCTGTGGAGCTCTGTTATACACTCAGACACATTACTGGGAGTATTATTGCCGTGGAGTTCTGTTATACACTCAGACACATTACTGGGAGTATTATTACTGTGGAGCTCGGTTATACACTCAGACACATTACTGGGAGTATTATTACTGTGGAGCTCTGTTATATACTCAAACACATTACTAGGAGTATTATTACTGTGGAGCTCTGTTATACACTCAGACACATTACTGGGAGTATTATTGTTGTGGAGCTCTGTTATAACACATTACTGGGAGTATTATTGCTGTGGAGCTCTGTTATACACGCAGACACATTACTGGGAGTCTTATTGCTGTGGAGCTCTGATATACACTCAGACACATTACTGGGAGTATTATAGTTGTGGAGCTCTGTTATACATTTAGATACATTAATGGGAGTACTATTGCTGTGGAGCTCTGTTATGCACTCAGACACATTACTGGGAGTATTATTGCCGTGGAGTTCTGTTATACACTCAGACACATTACTGGGAGTATTATTGCTATGGAGCTCTGTTATACACTCAGTCACATTACTAGGATAATTATTGCTGTGGAGCTCTGTTTTACACTCAGACACATTACTGGGAGTATTATTGCTGTGGAGCTCTGTTATACACTCAGACACATTACTGGGAGTATTATTGCCGTGGAGCTCTGTTATACACTCAGACATATTACTGGGAGTATTATTACTGTGGAGCTCTGTTATACACTCAGACACATTACTGGGAGTATTATTACTGTGGAGCTCTGTTATACACTCATACACATTGCTAGGAGTATTATTACTGTGGAGCTCTGTTATACACTGAGACACATTACTGGGAGTATTATTGTTGTGGAGCTCTGTTATAACACATTACTGGGAGTATTATTGCTGTGGAGCTCTGTTATACACTCAGACACATTACTGGGAGTATTATTGCTGTGGAGCTCTGTTACACACTCAGACATTACTGGGAGTATTATTGCTGTGGAGCTCTGTTATATACTCAGACACATTACTGGGAGTATTATTGCTGTGGAGCTCTGTTATACACTCAGACACATTACTGGGAGTATTATTGCTGTGGAGCTCTGTTATACACTGAGACACATTACTGGGAGTAATATTGCTGTGGAGCTCTGTTATACACTCAGACACATTACTGGGAGTATTATTACTGTGGAGCTCTGTTATACCCTCAGACACATTACTGGGAGTATTATTGCTGTGGAGCTCTGTTATACACTCGGACACATTACTGGGAGTATTATTGCTGTGGAGCTCTATTATACACTCAGACACATTACTGGGAGTATTATTTCTGTGGAGCTCTGTTATACACTCAGACACATTACTGGGAGTATTATTGTTGTGGAGCTCTGTAATACACTCAGACACATTACTGAGAGTGTTATTGCTGTGGAGCTCTGTTATACACTCAGACAATTTACTGGGAGTATTATTGTTGTGGAGCTCTGTTATACAATCAGTCACATTACTGGGAGTATTATTACTGTGGAGCTCTGTTATACACTCAGACAGATTACTGGGAGCATTATTGCCGTGGAGCTCTGTTATACACTCAGACACATTACTAGGAGTATTATTCCTGTGGAGCTCTGTTATACACTCAGACACATTACTGGGAGTATTATTGCTGTAGAGCTCTGTTATACACTCAGACACATTACTGGGAGTATTATTGCTGTAGAGCTTTGTTATACACTCAGACACATTACTGGGAGTATTATTATTGTGGAGCTCTGTTATACATGCAGACACATTACTGGGAGTATTATTACTGTGGAGCTCCGTTATACACTCAGACACATTACTGTGAGTATTATTGCTGTGGAGCTCTGTTATACACTCAGACACATTACTGGGAGTATTATTTCCGTGGAGCTCTGTTATACACTCAGACACATTACTGGGAGTATTATTACTGTGGAGTTCTGTTATACACTCAGACACATTACTGGGAGTATTATTACTGTGGAGCTCTGTTATACACTCAGACACATTACTGGGAGTATTATTACTGTGGAGCTCTGTTATACACTCAGACACATTACTGGGAGTATTATTGTTGTGGAGCTCTGTTACAACACATTACTGGGAGTATTATTGCTGTGGAGCTCTGTTATACACGCAGACACATTACTGGGAGTCTTATTGCTGTGGAGCTCTGTTATACACTCAGACACATTACTGGGAGTATTATAGCTGTGGAGCTCTGTTATACACTCAGACACACTACTGGGAGTATTATTGCTGTGGAGCTCTGTTATACACTCAGACACATTACTGGGAGTATTATTGCTGTGGAGCTCTGTTATACACTCAGACACATTACTGGGAGTATTATTGCTGTGGAGCTCTGTTATACACTCAGACACATTACTGGGAGTATTATTACTATGGAGCTCTGTTATACACTCAGACACATTACTGGGAGTATTATTGCTGTGGATCTCTGTTATACACCCAGACACATTACTGGGAGTATTATTGCTGTGGGGCTCTGTTATACACTCAGACACATTACTGGGAGTATTATTGCTGTGGAGCTCTGTTATACACTCAGACACAATACTGGGAGTATTATTGCTGTGGAGCTCTGTTATACACTCAGACACATTACTGGGAGTATTATTGCTGTGGAGCTCTGTTATACACTAGACACATTACTGGGAGTATTATTGCTGTGGAGCTCTGTTATACACTCAGAAACATTACTGGGAGTATTATTCCTGTGGAGCTCTGTTATACACTCAGACACATTACTGGGAGTATTATTGCTGTGGAGCTCTGTTATAAACTCAGACACATTACTGGGAGTATTATTGCTGTGGAGCTTTGTTATACACTCAGACACATTACTGGGAGTATATATTAAGTTGTGGAGCTCTGTTATACACTCAGACACATTACTGAGTATTATTGCTGTGGAGCTCTTGTTATACACTCAGACACACACATTGGGAGTATTATTGCTGTGGAGCTTGCTACATTCAGTACATTACTTCTGGGAGTATATTGCTGTGGAGCTCTGTTAAGGCTACTCAGACACATTACTGGGAGTATTATTGCTGTGGAGCTCTGTTATACACTCAGACACACATTACTGGGAGTATTATTGCTGTGGAGCCTGTGATACACCTAGACACACATTACTGGGAGTATTATTACTGTAGAGCTCTGTTATACACTCAGACACATTACTGGGAGTATTACTGTAGTGGAGCTCTGTTATACACTCAGACACATTACTGGGAGTATTATCACTGTGGAGCTCTGTTATACACTCAGACACATTACTGGGAGTATTATTGCTGTGGAGCTCTGTTAGAGACATCAGACACATTACTGGGAGTATTATTACTGAGGAGCTCTGTTATACACTCAGACACATTACTGGGAGTATTATTGCTGAGCCTCATAAGCATGTACTCAGACACACATTACTGGGAGTATTATTGCTGTGGAGCTCTGTTATACACTCAGACACATTACTGGGAGTATTATTGCTGTGGAGCTCTGTTATACACTCAGACAGATTACTGGGAGTGTTATTGCTGTGGAGCTCTGTTATACACGCAGACACATTACTGGGAGTCTTATTGCTGTGGAGCTCTGTTATACACTCAGACACATTACTGGGAGTATTATAGTTGTGGAGCTCTGTTATACATTTAAACACATTACTGGGAGTACTATTGCTGTGGAGCTCTGTTATACAGACAGACACATTACTGGGAGTATTATTATTGTGGAGCTCCGTTATACACTCAGACACATTACTGGGAGTGTTAGTGCTGTGGAGCTCTGTTATACACTCAGACACATTACTGGGGGTATTATTACTATGGAGCTCTGTTATACACTCAGGCACATTGCTGGGAGTATTATTTATGTGGATCTCTGTTATACACTCAGACACATTACTGGGAGTATTATTACTGTGGAGCTCTGTTATACACTCAGACACATTACTGGG